CAGCAGAGGACAACTGAAAATAGTATTTTGATAATTGAAGGGATTATGTATACTAAGGCCATTTATAAAGGTTGGGTTTTTAGGTTGGTTCTTTCCAAAAGATAGAGCTGTGGGCAAATCACATTTGATACTCTTTTAGTAAGATCTTCAAAATGACCATGGGAATGCAACTACTCTATAAATATTGGCTGGAACAAACACCCAGCACGGGATTTCTGTGAAACATGCCCTGTGTTTCATCTGAGCTGTGGATGTGGTTAAAACACCCTACTGTATTCTGCAAGTGCTGTACTCCTCTTAGTAGGAGATAGTAAGACTTTGGGGTTAACTGTCAGATGCTTTATTCTTCTAAAGACCTTTGCCTTTTAACTAAATGCTTGCTTATCTTTCTAATTTAACATAGTCCCACGTTCTTTTTTGTAGTAATTTTGGACTATCTGATAACATATAATGGAAAACATGTTTATGTCTTCCACTAGTTCTTGTTGCATATTTCAAATGCTTAGAACAACAATTTTCAGAAGCTTTCATTAAGGTTAATTTAAAAACTACATTAAATACAAACAGATTTTCTCACAAACAAAATGCAATGTGTACTTAACAGACTTCTGTATGTTGTATTTGATAAACTACCTCATATAAATGCAAATTCTGACTTTCTGCCAGAACCAGGTGGTATGGAAAATATTTCTATTAAACAAATAATGCTGGGAGAGCAAACTTCATGTTACAGTATGTTACACTGAGAAAGACGATCTTTTCACGGAGGTCAGATGTAGATTTATGTTATTTCTTCTGTTTTGCTTCTTCTTCACTAAAGAAGATGTAGTACAAGGCCATATAAAAGGCAGGTATATATACACATAGGATAACTATTCATTTTTTCCAAACCAGGCTATTTTTTTAAATGTTATATATGGTTATTTGGATATTGCTGACTCCTTTTGCTTTACTGTACGACGGCATAGGAAGATATCATGCTCTGAGCTGAACTCCTAATCTGAGCCATAAGGGTCAAGAGGAAGAGGAGTAACCCTTAAACCCTGTGTCATTTAGTATGTTATGAAAATGGAGCTTCACATGCCTTTTGCTGGGTGCCAACTCCTCTTGCTGCAATTGGATAATGTTCATTTGGAAAAGGAGTATGAAAATTCAAGCCGCCAGAGGCGACTCTAAAGAGCATATGATGGAAACAAATTGAGTCACCACCAATGTGGCTAACATTGTTGGTGGAAACTGGGACACCCGCATGAGCCATTGTTCGCTGTACCTCATCTGGTTTATGTAGCTCACTGAGTTGAAAGCTGGATCTGCATTAACCTTGTGATTTGAGGAGGATTCATGCAATGTGGTTTCAATTGTCTATGGATGCTTTCAGTTTGTACTGCACGCTGCCAGTAACACTTGGTCCTACTGGTCTCCCACATTTATGGTGTTGTCTCAGCTCATCCTGATGAAGCTGCGGTGAGGACTGTTTCCTGATGTGGTCACATTTAGCAGGCTGCTGCTCTGCAAGTCTTCTAGGAGAGGCTTTTTTTTTCAGTCTTCCCTCTGCCCCAATAGCAGCTGCTGCATACAAGTTTTCCCTCAACAATCTTTGAAAGAGGATTTTTTTTGTTTTGTTTTTTAGACTGGTTTCTGTCCTAACTTGGTCTGAATCTGCCTTTGGTGCTGTTGTGGAAGCAGGAGGCCATGGTTTATTTGCTCTGCTCTTTTGAGGGTTGCTCAGGGTGAGGCTCATTCTGCTTTTGTCACCTATTTCTGTTGTACTTGGGTACACGTCTTCTGCCTGTGAGCATTTTTCTGTGGGCGTGGGGATGATGGGACCTACTAAAACACAAGTGATCACTTCAACCACCACCAAATTACAGCCATGCCCAAGGCAAATTACAGCAGCTTTCTGACAGCGTCACCATGCTATCTTTGTGACAGAGATGGAGATAATGAGAATTAATTAATCAGTCTTTGATTAGAAAAAAGGGGGGGGGGGGGGAATCCTTTTGTGGCAATTCTACTACAAAACACATGAAACTGGTGTGGTTTTTATTTGATGTTGCTTCTCAAATGTAGGGTAGGCATCATCAATGGCAGCATTCAGGATTCCATGTTCTCTTTCTTTTTTATCCCTCCAAACCCACTATTAATGGGCTGAAGGGGGCCCAAAGTGCTCATTTTATGGATAAATATATGTTGAATGCTAGAACTACGAGGCTTTTGCAAATGCTGTTATTGTTACATCACAAAAACTCCAGCTTGTTTGAAGATCTCGAGTAAAGACCCAGGTGTGCTCTCCTTGACTAGAGCCACCTCTGTCTTCGTTGCAGTATTGGGGTCTAAGTGCTGTGTTGTACTCTTTAGACTGATGGCTACATCTTATAAATTGGTCCGTTATGATAAAACATGAACTCGATGGTGCCAGTGTCTGACTGGAATTACAATTATCTAAGTAGATTCATTTGTATCCCTTTCATAGCAGCTTTTCTCTGGGCACAAGATTTTTCTGTGGGACATGGGAAGAACAAAATTAATCTTATAAAGAGGAAGGGGTTTACACTGAAATCAATAGTTACAGAATTATTGGATAAATGACTTTTTCTTAATTCTTTCTCTTCTCAGAAGATGCAGTTTTGATGGGTACACAAATCCAATGGCTGCCAAAAAGCTGATATTACATGAAATATTTCATCTAAGTTGTGTGGGCTGCACTACACTTTAATATTACTGAAAACAGAGTGTAAAAATGTCAGCTTTGGAGTTGAATTAATTATTAACTGATTATTAACTATGAATAAGTCAAAGAATAATAATGCAATTCTACTTTTTAAAAAGTTATTACTTTTAAAAAGAGTAACATGGCTTCCTCAGGCAATTTTTAATGTGAGCCAAATATGTGATTTTATAGCTTGGATTTGGATTATATACAAAGAAAGTTTGCATTATATCAGAGAAACACAGGAATACACAGAGACAAAGAGATAGGTTTGAAACATTGCTGTCAGTAGGTGGTTGGATGGGATTGCAAATCCCTGACTCCTTTTCACAGGACAAATTTCTTTCCCGTTGTGTACCTTCTGTGCTCAGAGCCCTCAGATTTTCACTTCCAGGCAGGAGCAATCCTATCATTCCTTCTCACCTAACTTTAAGCTTAACTGCAGCTATTCTCCCTTGTACCTAGGCAATGCAATCCAAAAGATGCTGTGGCACCAAGGCACATGTTCCCAGCCCAGTCATAGCACTTATCTCTATAATGGAGTGGTAAAGCCTTCTAACATGCAGTTCACAGAAATGGATTGTACCAAGAGCATCTATAAAAGCCACAGCATCCATTTGAAAAGAGCATAATGTCACCATTTTTCAGTAGGTATCTTCTCTAAAGGAAAATAATCACTTTTCTAATTCATGATCTGTAAGTGATGGGACTGATTTTTTTTTCCCCCTCATTTAGGTTGCAGCAAAAGTTAGGACAATTAAAATACGTATGTATGGGGATGTTAGAGACTGAATCTGAATTTAGATATTAGGAGGAAGTTCTTTAAGTATTAGGAGGAAGTTTTTCACCCAGAGGGTGTTGTCACACTGGAACAGTTTACCCAAGGAGGCTGGGGATGCTCCATCCCTGGAGGCATTCAAGGCCAGGCTGGATGTGGCTCTGAGCAGCCTGGTCTGCTGGTTGGTGACCCTACACATAGCAGGGGGGGTTGGAACAAGATGAGCATTGTGCTCCTTTTCAACCCAGGCCATTCTATGATTCTATGAATCGGGGATGCTACAGCTCAAATCGTTCGATGTATCTTCCTTTCGCAAATGTAAGGGGCATTATAGTGTCTGACAAAAATATTTTCTCTATATTCTGGGAACTATTGACATTATTACCTGAAGAACTGCTGTCAGATTTACACCTTCCCTATGAACAAATGGCTTTTCTGCACTGCTCACAACTCCAGAAAGTTGGTTGGCCATCTAAAGCTGATTGATCTTCAGCAGTTTTCTCAACTTCTTCTTTGCTGGGCACCAAGCTTGGTAGCACCAGCTCCTGATCTATAGTAGGTCCAGTGAATGATATAAACACCAAAACCTGTACCAACACCGGTGTCCCTTCTCTAGGTCATATTGACAATGTTAAGAATTTCATTTCCAAGCCATTCCTTTGTGCTATTTATTTACAAGGTCCAGGTCAATGCAATGGAAAATTCTTTTTTCCTTTCACATGTTGAAGGAGTAATAAAAATCAGAGTCTTGAAAATTGAAGATTATTTTATCAGGATGCTGGATTAATTTGTAATTGACCTCTAACAATTAGCAGCAAACTCCCATGTTATACATAACTTATATCTACCTAATGACTGGGCCGGGTGGCCTTTAGCATCTTGAAGAGTGAGGGCCATGTTTTGATTGTATGATTTGCTTTATGTTACTTGGTAGCAATTCTGAAAACTGGAATATTTACATGCATTGAATTATTTTAGTTTGGGTCTTTGATCATTAAAAATTGATTTTTAACATATTCTGACCTGTCCTGTAATTATATTTTCATACAAATTCATTGTATGTGTATATACATGCATGTATATATGTATATATATGTATATGTATATATACACATACACACACACATACATACTTTGCAAAAGTCAGATTCTGGTTTTGACTGCCTTACTCTGTATAAACTAGCTTGTGTGTAGGCCCAAACTCAACTTGCTACAACGTACAATATTTATGAATGGTTCTACATAAAAGGAATGAAAATAACTAATTTTAATAATACCACTAAATGTCATGGCTGGGTAGAAAATGGAAATCCCTTCCCATCACATATTTTATGTTTTCAGAAAAGAAATTAATCCAGCTCTTGGATGAAAATTCAAAACCACAACATTCTTCATACAAAAGGATTTCCAAAAATACCATATTTTTAGTAAATCACAATGATTTTTCAGATTGCTGATAAAAATGAAATTGATTAAAACTTTTTTAGCTAACACTGTATTTTAACAACACAGGGAGAAGACACTTCAAATCAACTATGGCTTTCCCAACAGCCTTTTCCTGGAAAGGAGATTTTCTTCTACAAAAGAAATTTTTACAGAAAGATTCTGATACGGTCAACTAACTAGAGCATCTGGTGTATGCAGCTGGTCTAAGGTAAGAAACCTGGCAGCAGATATTTACTTAAACTTATCGTATACAGAAGAACCATTAGAGACTCCAAGAAACTATTTCAGTGCCCAAGTGTCCTTGCCTAGTGCTAGACCTTGCAAGGCCTGCATTAGAAAGGAGAACTGTGATCTCCCTTTTGGCAAACATCTGTAGATGGGAAAACAGAATATTTTCCTGTTAATATCTAGCAAACAGACAACATATCATATTTCATTAGGATTCAGCAAGAGGTGAGACCAGGAGCTGTTTAATCACCACAAACATGAAGACTAATCCAAGCATGCCCTCCCTTCTCTGGAGGAGGTCAAGCAGCGGCAGCGAGGCATAAATATTCAAGTCCTTTCCAAACGTCCTGCCTGCTTCTGCCTTGAGCCATTAGAAAAACAGTGCGAGTTTTCTACTGCAAAACCATTTAATAGTGATCAAAATATTTGGGGGGAATATTTTGATGGGAATTGTTTAAAATCATCACTTTTAGTAACTCTTCCTATTTTTTTTCTTCTGAATATTAAACATTCAGAGATTATTTCCTTTTTCCTTTTTTCCTTTTCCCTTTTTCCTTTTCCCTTTCCTTTCATTTTCACAGCACAGCACTAGCAGGGACCCTCTGAGCACTGAATTTCTTGCCCAAATCCCACTTGAGAATTGAGCAAGCTCCATATTAACCAGCCTCTGAGGTTGTTTTCTTACTTACCCTGTCCCCATGCTCTTGTGGGATGGCTGCTGGAGAGTTCTCATGGTCACATCCCTTTGTCAAGCTTCTCCTGAAGCTCATTAACAACCAGATGATATCCATTCGTATTTGTATTTAACAGCAAATCTCGCAGCTTCTTTTAACCCCCACTGGCCTATTCATAGAAGTTGCATCTCAGCCTTCATTTAATTGATCTTAGTGTACCTCGCTACTTTAATCTTCTCCAGCAGTACAGGCTCTCCTCTGATCACCTACATGTTCTTTACTCATGTTCTCATCAGAATTAATCTGAACTGATACCAGGCAACAAGAGTTCAACCTGACACACGCTACCTTTCAGTCATCCATATTCTCTGCAGTTCTTACTCACAATCTTAAGCACCTAACAGATTTGAACTTGCCTGAATCAATCTTTCCTAAGTGTACATCTGTAAATCCTCATAGGTGATGCCACATGGTGCATTTTAGTGGAGTACATTTCCCTTAGTCTAAGTTTCACAGAATTTCTGACCAAGAACAAGTTTTCCATAAAGAACTTACAAAATGGTTACAGAAGCAAATGGATAAAATCATAGGAAAAACAGCTATGTATATAAGCATGGAAAATAAATGTGTAAAATGTACACTTATAAAAATGTGTACATATGTGAAATATAGCTTATATGCTTTTATGACAAAGACAAGCTTATAGAAAAAAATATGTAATAACTACATAGCTGTATTTCAAGAGAAAAACTGTATTACAGTTGCTGGGTCCATCTTGAGACAGGTGCCACGAGCAGAGGTGGCATTTGTGTATCTGATTTTGTTCTTGCAAATGGTGAATGGGTCCAAGAACTGAATGGGAGATGAGATTAATGATTCTTTAAATCTATCCTTACCCAATGAAATGATAATACTGTTTTGGGTCACATTTCTTGTACCTTAAGACTCTGCAGTCTGGCAGTGGTGGATTTCAAAAAGCCACTTTTTGCATTTTTAGGCAGATATACTGATAATTTGAGAATATAATATTCAAAGCTTAATAAACATTGGTAAGTTTAGCATGTTATTTAGTCACATAAATTCTTTTTAACATACTACTTTGATTCAACAGATAAAAATAATTCTGAATTAACTTGCTATACTCAGACCCTATCTGCATGCACAGTTTCCATGGAAGTCAGCATGTTGTAGAGCAGAATTTAGTCTGTGTGTTTAATTCATCTTAATCGCTATTATTAATTCATAAGTACTGTTTCCAGAAATGTATTCAGTTAGTTTTACATTAGTCAAAATCAATTGTATGTGATTTATTTTGATCATTCGAGATTACAATTTTGATGTATCTGCTCTCATCCTCTATGTCAAACCAGGCAAAGGGGAAATGCGCTGCCAAGGAAGAGGCACCTTATATCCACTTGCTTTATTCTTTACTTCCCTTTATTAGGAATCTTAATGTTCTTTGGGACAAATTGTGTCATTGTGAGGGCTTTCACAGAGCAGAACAAAGCAGTGAGTGATGAGATGCCATTGACCTGGCACCCTAATGGTGGACTGAGGGGCCACATGGCACTGCCACCATTTTACTTTGGAAATTTTTACTTGGAAATTTTGGAAAATAGCAAAACCAGAAGCAGCTCTGTGTGGACCGTTCACCTCCAGTTCTGAACATGTAAGGGGAGGGCTCCAATACAACTAGCCACGATGCTTTCTTCCAGCTTGCAGAAACATTGATTGTAACCATGTCTGACTCTTGCAGGTGGTTTTGCTGGTTGAGGATTTGTGTCGGAATGACCTGCAGAACTGAGTCCTTAGTTTGCAAACATAAGTGATGACTTTGGGTCAGCAATGACTGAGGATTTCACCTGGCGGTATGTCTATATCTTTACATGCAGCCCTTTTCATGCTGTGTCTCCCATATGCATCTATTAGTGCAGCTTGCCAGTTGAAAACATCACTCACAAATGACACTGAAGGCTGTAGTCCATTCAAATTCGTACTATGATTGCCATCTGAAGACACTCCTTAGCTCCCTGTGTAGCTTTGTCTTCCTCCCAGTCTTTCTAGTTAAGCGTTACCACTAAAAAAAAAATTAAAAATAATTCCATTTTCATCTCTTTAATGGTATCTCCAGCCAAAGACATGTCCAAATGGTGGAGAGAGGAAAAATGAAATCAAATCCTGCTGACAAAAACCCAGATGTTAAACCTGTGATCACTTGAGAGGAACCTCCCTCGCTTCTGCGCAGCACAGAGCTGTTGTACAGTGAGCTCCGTTAAGCAGAATTCACAAAGCTTTTGTGGAATTAAAACAACATGCTCTGTACCAAGATGCCTTCACTTCCTGTGCCTTAATGTTAAATCCTATAGTGCTGTGGATCTTATAAATGATTGAGTTATTTTTAAACCACTGGATGTCTTCCAGTCAGTCTATTTCACACTGGATTAATTATGTAAGAATACTGACTTGTTCGTCACTAATGTTACAACTTTTAAAAACAACATGCTGTTTAAATTCAGGCTTGGCAACTCTTGCCTGAATCTCCTGAAATTTATGGCACCACACCCATAGCATAATAAAATCTTTAGTGGTCCTTTGTCTTTTAGCTTGCCTTCTATTTTTTCTCAAGGGTGTTTTATGCTGGAAGATGCATACAAAAGTTGTCCAGATGTTATTTGTATCAGAGCAGGGATTTCAGGCCAGCTATCTGTGGTTGCAAATGTTTATTTTAATGGGTTATTGTGCAATCCTTGCTGTGTGGACCTCAGTGGCCTTATATGTACGTTCTCAGCGATGCCAGCACATTGTTTTGAGATACATTATGCTCATCCAATAGCACTGTTACTGGTCACTGGGGGAGTAAAAAATGTAACACCTGTAGGAGCGCAGGCCATGCTTTCGCCAAGTGGTGCGGGTGGGAGCAGGACACGGGGCCTGAGCTGAAACAAATTGCTGTGCTCCATCTCCACCGTCCATGCTGGGAGTTTATTTTACCATTGAAACAAGCAGAGGAATGGCTTTATCATACATAGCTAATAAAGTTTCAGCCCAGTGTTTTCTTGATGCTGTAGTAAATTGTTTATCTCATGACTAAAAACATGTTATGTGTGTGTACCAATTAGGGCAGCAAACTTCAGTTCATAAGAAGAAATTTCAAAGGTGAGCTTCGTGACGCTTTGAACAAGGAGGAAAACACTGGAGCTTTCCATCAAAGCTGTGAGCCAAGCCAGGTTCCCATCTGTGTGCTCTGCTCTACTTGAGAGGTACATGTGCCATTACTAAGGATGGATGATGGAGTAATGCCAAGGTGAGCTCTCCCACCAGCAGAATGCTCCCACCAGATTATTTTCACTCAGAGGGTGGTGAGGCACTGGAACAGGTTGCCCAAGGAGGTTGTGGATGCTCCATCCCTGGAGACATTCAATGGGCTGTATGTGGCTCTGGGCAGCCTGGTCTGGTGGCTGGCCACCCTGCACGTAGCAGGGGATTGGAACTAAATGAGCACTGTGGGCCTTTTCAACCCAGGCCATTTTATGATTCTATGATTCTATGATTTCTGTCTTTCATGGAGAAAGAATTTAAAGGTAAGCTTGCACCCTAGAAGTATCCATCTGTTCAATTCCATGAAATGTAGGTGAGCAAAATTATGGTGATGAAAGCAACAGAACTCATTTGCACATGCAGATCCCATTTAACCTTTGAGACAAAAGGTTATGTATTTTTTTATTTTTTATATCATATATTTTAATTTTTTTAATGTATTAAGTCACAAATTTGTAATTCATTTAATTGACATAGATAAGCTTAAACTATTCCAAGGTACTTTAAACTCACATAATTTTGTAGGAATTCGTATAATTTACCATGCTGCATCCAGCTCCCAGTGTTCTGAAATCATGCTTAAAATAATTAGATTTTAAAAAAACAACAATTGGGGTGTTTTCTGTCTTTTTATTTTTCAGCCTTCAACCTCACATTTTAAACTTCTCAATAATAAAGACAAAGGGATGGTTTTAGAAAGCAAAAGTCCATGTTCTTAGGCATCATATGACTCTTGGTGTTGTGCTTTAGTTAGATGTTACTGGTGTAATGGGTACTGTCTGCAGCACAGGCCCTGCTTGTAATTCTGCCCAACCCTGCTTGTTTTCACCACTGTTCAATTATACAAGGCCTTTCCATAAGGAAATTAGTCCAAATAACTATCTTATCCTCAAACTGAAGGTATCGTGTCAGCCGTGAGTGGCATCAATCCCGCTATGGAGATAGCTTAATTGGGAACCAGTGAAAGCAGTTAACAGATGGCCTTTTATAAATCTGGGGCTGGGATGGACACTAAATATTTGTGTTCATGAGATTATAGAGTTGGAGGAATGCATGATGGGGCCTTTCTGACGGGACCCCACGCATCCTGCACGCGTGTGTGGGCCTGGTGCATCTCTTGCCGACAGTTCCCAAAACCGGAGGGTCAGATATTTAATTCTGGAGCCCCTCCATGATGGGGAAATACTGAATGTAATAATGACCAAATCCTTCCTGTAAAGTCTGTGGCCATTCATGTCAAGGAGCTCCAGGCATTCTCCGTGGGCTGAGCGGATGTCCCATGCCACTCCACCTGCACGTTGTAGGGCATCAAACTCTGTAGCAGCTCCTGGGAAAAGGCAAATCCCCACCTCGGGGTCCTGACAGCCAGCTCAGAAAGCCATCACTTCTCATTTACGTTCTGCAGAATGTAAACGTATTTGTAAATTTGAAAGCAGCTGCTGAAGCTCAGCAGTAAACCGGTTTTGTTTTACAAAACCTTTGCTGTTTGGTTTGAAACTAGTGAAGCTTCGCGTGTATCCAGCACTCCTCTTCACATTTCAGGGAAGATTTTGTCTAGCTGCCTCTGTGACATATGGTAGTGCTTAGTGCGTGCTGTATGGCCTGGAGCCATACCACTGCAGCCTGTATGTGCTTCAGATCTCCCAGGCTCAGGGAATCAGGATGAGGCAGCCTGTGCAAGGGACCTCCTAGAAAACATCAGAGCACGCTGTGCGGTGGTGAGGATGAGGTGTTCCTCCTGCTGAGCCCTGTCCTTCAGTGCAGATAAGGTGCCTTGGAGCTCAACCAGCTTTGGTCTTCACAGGCTGCAAAATTGACCGCTCAGTGCACCGTGAATATAGTGCAGATTGTAGCCATGGGAAAGCTGCAAACAATCCCACTTCCTCAGGTAGCCCAGAGGAAGTGCTGGTGTGGAGAAGAGCAGTGACATACTCATCCTAATCTTGTTTTTGGGGGAAATATTCCCATTACTACCACCCATTATATGGTGCAGCTAACCCTGCCCAGAAACCTGGATCGCTGTCTGGGGAGTGAAAGCAGGGCTCTAAACAGCCTAAATAAGGGATGCGGTCCTCATCACGAGTCTGAAACACTGCTTGGTGTCACACACTCTGCTTCCTAGGAAGATGAGGACCACAGTCCTCAGAAATCCCCAGTGTTCATGTTCATTTGTTGGGGTGAAAGAGGAGGAAAGGAGCTGATGGTGAAGGAGAGGGCTGCGGGTCTGGCTTTGCAGCCTCCTCTTGGCGATGTTATTAATTTGTTCTGGGACCTTGGGAGACTCATTTAACCTCTCTTTGTCTCAGATTCAAACCTCTACAAGCAGTTATTATAACATTTGGCTGCATTATGGCATTGTTGAAAGGCTTAATTAAATTAAGTGTTCTGAGATCTTTGAATGAAAGGTGCTATCCAAGTGAAAGCCTGTTGATGATGATGACTCTAAATTACGAGGCCAAGTCCTTCACAACTTTTATGCAGTCCTTGGTCAGACAGTGTTATTTTTAAACATTATTTCTTGAAACATTTAAAGGGTTTGGGGAGTGCCATGTGTTTAGTCATGACATCTGACCCACAGCGGGAATGATTTGTTAATGCAGGATTTAAAGAGAAGAAATCGAGTCACAGGTTGATCACATACAGGCAAATGCATGTTAATCACTTAAAATGTGTATTTATTTTCTTTAAATAGTTAGGAATTTCAGTAATTTCAGAACAAGTATTGTCTTAAGTAGGAAATGAGAATGAATTTTGTGTTTGTAGGTGTCATAGCCAAAAGATGCATGACTTCTCCCTTCAGACCTGTGAATAGATCACTGGAAGGACTGCATGCAAAATATGTTAAAGCTTTCACTAGTGGGTCTCTTACCAGCAATAAGGAGGTGAAATTCCTAGCTACAGATTTGTATTCCTTTGATACCTGTGCAAACTCCTGTGCTTTCTTACTAAAATTCTCCATTCTTCTGTAAGCTTCTCTTCACCTGTTTCTTGAGCTCAAGGTTTCTTCTTCCAGCATCTAGATGCACTCATACTCAGCACTGTTTTTCATTTGGCTTCTTTTTTCCAAATGTGAAAGACACAGTTTTCCTAAATATTTTATTATCCTCTGATATTATCCTAGCAACAACCCCAACAGGCCATTTTTCCTTCTGCCTTTGGTGCCACTTTGAGCAATCCATCAGTCCTTCCTAGCCTTTCCCATTGACTTCCCTTTTCAGAATTGCTCTCTACTGCACAAAACCTACCTTATCAAAGTCACCAGAACCACAAGTGTAATGACATTGTCAGTGCATTTTATAAGGGCTTCAATTTTTCATGTGTATTATGGGCATGGGATCACATCTACTTTCTGGGTGTGGGCTCATTAAAGGTCTGCCTTACAGCTCACTATATAGTAAGTAGGAATCTTTCAATAGACAGGAAGGATGGTATTTTGGTTAAAGCCTTCAAGGGATCAGGATTCAGCTTCTAGTTTTGCATGCTTCCTGTGTGGTTTTGGGAAAGACACTTTGTGCCATAATTCCCCATCTGCAAACTAAAGATGATATTACATCCTGTTTCTCACCTTCTCCCTGCAAGCTTTACAAAGCTGGGAAGGCTGTAAGCACTGGAGAGCAAATACTGTCATTTTATACACAGCACTTTCCACAATAGCTTTTCACTTGCAGCTGAAAACTAATGACTATTGTAATGCTAGTAATAAGTAATAATTGTGAATAATACTTTTGGCCTTACATGCACTTAAGGTTGATTCTTCCAGACTTCCTGTAAGTTTGCTGGGGAGAGACTGAGCAAAGAATAAATCACACCAAACTCTTCTAAATAAGGCGGATTTCTTTTCTCTTATACTTTCTCACTGTTTACTGAGGGAGAATGAACAGTAGAAACAGTAGTCTTCAGACCATCAGACTCATTTCACCTTTGTTATACTTAAACTAATTAGTCTCAGAGATGAAAAACACATTTCTCAGATTCCAGATAATCTTAAACAAAACACTTCATGCTGATTTTATTCTGCCTCTATCTGTGCAAAGATTAAACAAAACCCACAGTTGGTTTCATCTGCCAGACTTTAAGAAAAAAATCATGCCACGGAAAAAGAAGGGGGGGGGAAATAAATCCAGGGCAAGGTTTGCAGTGCTATGAGTTTGCTCATCCTTAGTTTATCTTCTGCAAATGAGCCTGTATAAAACAGTCCACCTACTGTTCTAGTCGCTACGACATAATGCAGTTCCACTGAATGATCCTGTTAACCTAACCTTCAATTTGCTGGGATTTGAACTCTGAATTACAGCTTACTAACATAGTTTAACAGCTGGTACAAGGGCTCCTTTTGAATTTTTAATCACATGAATTAAAGATTGCTGGAGATGCTTTTCAGACCTCCACTAGCAGTGATCCAATGTACAGACAGACAAGTATAGGTAGCCCCTGGTGGATTAAGAGCACAAAGGTACTATGGCTGTGAAGCAGCGCTGCACTCTTTACTTGCCAAATTAGGAATGCCAAGGCAAATTATTCATCTGAGGATAAATTCACATTATGGCTCCAACTGGACTCTGAGTCATTTAGCTCCATTTTAAAATCCCTCTTTTTTTCTCCTTGCGTTTTTTACAAGCTCAGAACGCAGGTTTTGAAGGCTTTTGAAGATTTTGCTTGATTTAGCAAAATGTTCCTTTGGTTCTGTATATAAAGGGAACACACATGCACACACAGGAGAGAAAGAAATATATATATAGACTGATTGCAACTGATATCTGGAATGCAATGAAAACAAACATGACTGTCTGCGAATGTTTCGGGGTGGATGTAATCGGTTGTTGCCGTCACACAGCGTGCGGAATGCCTGTGTTTGGATTCTGCACACTTCGTGTCTCCCATTATTTATTCCAAGAAAAGTTTTCTTAGTGTGGATATTTCTCAGGGAAGAGAGAGGGAAAAAAAAAAAGAAAGAAAAAAGGGAAAGAGAAAAAAAAAAAGGCAGAAATGTAGTTGAACTGGAAGCATCTCTGTCCTGACACACCAGCTGATGAGTTCTGTGAGAATTCCTGCCTCCTAAATTCACAGTCCTGCAGGCATGGAGATCAGCATCCCAACATTGATGGAGTTGTTTAAACAGAGTAGGGGAGGGGGGAAATGAAATTAGGGCAGGAGCAAGAGAGCATGTTGCTTCTTAATTATGCTGTGTTCTCCCTCCGATGGATTGGCCTCCCCACTTGCTCTAAGTAAAGCAAGTGGCATGTGGCATCCTCTGCAGCTTGAGGAGCAGTGGCAAGTGTACAGCTGTTCGTGCTGACACACAGGTGTTGGGTTTTCAGATCTGTTAGCTAGACAGATTTTTAAGGGTGTACAGGGGAATCATCTGCAGTTGTTGCACAAAAAATGTTTTCCAAGGGATAGAGGAGTTAATCATTATGGAAATCCTACTCTGCAGGCTGGAAGTGTGGATCAGAACCACATCTTCATGCTCTCTGCTTGCTCGGGTCACTGTAATAACCCTTCTGTGCCCTTCTTGCTAAGGGTGAGTTGGTGGCAGGACTAGGCCATGATAGCTGAGAGTGGATGATCCCTGCCCTCTGTATTGACACCAGCCTTTGAAGCTGAGTCGCCAGAGAGCTGGTGCTGAAGCTATGGTGTGTTTTGTGAGATTTCCTAGGGGAAATCTCAGAGCTTTGGCAGCATTCTGGGCCAGTATGGACAGTATTTGCACTCAGAGCTCCATATTAGGTGTATGCAGCAAAGTGGTGACGCTGTGCCCAGTTTGGGATGGGTGCATTGAAATGAGCACTGGGAATGTCACCAGCTTGTACTGAATAACCATTATTGATAGCCAAGTGATTATCCCCTTTTCTTTCAGAAGGCTCTTAATGCAACCCTGCCACAGTTTCCCCTACTAATAAGTTATTTGATTTCATCAAATGATAAAGACAAAAATACAGACCAGGGTGCTGGATCTCTAACTATTATATCTTACATGCCTTATTGGCACAGGCTGCCCGAGGAGGTGGTGGAATCACTGTTTCTGGAGGTATTCCAGAACAACAGAGATGTGACACTGAGGGACATGGTGCGTGGACACGGTGGGAGTGGATTGTGGTTGAATTTGATTGTAGAGGTATTTTCCAATCTTAATGATTCTGTGGTTTTTAATGTTATATTAAGAGCCCACAGCTGAAGCAAAGGTGTCAAGAGAGAAGTGGGATTTCAGCATGGGAGGTTTCAATGGGCTGCAGCAGTCCTGCTAGGTCACCTAGGGCTCCTAGTATATATTTGAGGGCTACGAATGGATTCATTCTTCTCCCACATCCATTGAACTGAGGTGCTCTGTAGACTGAGAAGGATTTCCTGGAATGTCATTCCAGAAAAAAAAAAAATGAGGGGAAAAAAAAAAAAAAAAAAAAAGGATGAAAAATGCTAAAGCTTCCTATTTGTTCATTTTAGACATAATTTCACCTTGCAAGAGGCGACTTTTTTTCTGTGCATTCTGGGACTGAGAGGGTTCCAGTGCTATCTTCATTGTGAGCACCAGCCTCTCCAGGTCATATCCTTTTGGTGTTGGCTAAGCATCACACTGATGGGCAGCACCAGCAGAGCCACAGGAGCAGAGTAGCCAGTGCTAATGCTCCCCTGTAACTCGGAGTTGAGTGATGAAACCCAAGAATGCAGAGCAGCTGGGAATGGGTCTTGGGAGTGCTGATAGTGGGCAAGCTGGGGAGTATCACATTTCTCCTCTGGGAACAGGCCTTTTTCCTCCTAGAGTTAAATCTTTTGTTTTGTGGGATTTTTTTTCATTCTACTCTTAGTTTCATTCCTTTCCTCGTAGCTGACAATGGGAAATAAATCAAATCCATCATTTTTTGCTCACAGATTCCCAGGGAGAAGGAGAGGAACACCTCAGTCCCCTGACTCCCAGACTTGCTCACTGATCTTGAAAGCAATGCACTCCCATGCTATGGCACACACACACACACACACACACACACACACACAGCCCAGCGCTACTATATGCTTCCCAGGGTCTGGATGTTGCCATCCATCACAGCAGCTCTGGTTCCAGTTCTTGCTAACATCTGAATTTCCTGCTGGCTCAATGAACGGCTTTCAGCTTGTGGTACATTATATAGCTACTGGGTGAATGGGACTGAGCGTTCCCATTTGGCTCCGAGCACTCTGTTCACCTGAGCTTGCTGGCAGGATGAATAGTTCACCGCAGTTCTAGTGCTAACCCCCTTTGTGAACTAGCAGTGAGCCATGTACCTTATTACAAAGGCCGACAGCTCCCTGGAAACTTAAATCCACTCTTTCTCCTCTCCCTACCATAGGGAGCTATAAAATAAAAGGTCTTGGTTGGTAGGCATGTAATATAACAAAAAAACCTCTGTTGTGGCAGGATCCAGACTCCCCAGTAACAATAAGGATTATGCTCTTACATCGAAAATGCAGTTGCTAGTTTCAACTGTGGTACTTTATTATGGATTCCTACAGTGTACATTTATGTCAGAGGCTTGGATGTTTAACTTGAGTCAAGTCAGGGCAGAAAAGAGAGCTCAGTGTCTTCTTATTTTCAATATGGAGGGAAAAGATGCAACTTGTTACACTGGTTTGATGCAACCTTCCCCCATACCACTTCTCAGAGAGCTTTAAATAGCCTGACACTGGCACTGGGTAAGAGCTGGCAGAAGAATAGATTTTTTTCATCTGATGGCTCGCCAAGGTTGTTTTCAAGAAGGAGAAGTAGAAGAAGAAGGAAAAAAAAAAAAAACTTTTACATGCCAGTCATTCATTGCCTGCCAGTTCCCATGGTT